GAATCGTTCCAAGTTCTGGACAGGGGCGAGTGTATTGGCTTAGCTGGGAGTCGCCAAGGATTCCGGAACAAATATTGAATTTGACTGATTAAGATTGTAGAGGGTGTATGGGTGGAGTGGATTCATGGTGGATGGCATGGGGGTCACTCAGCGAGTGGTACTGGAGAGGGTCTAGGGACTGCATCGTGGGCGGCACTCGTGTCGTCAAATGATAAAGAGAGGGGGTGGGGCGGGGGATGGGTGACAATAGCTACTGACATTTGGAACAATTGGGAACTAGCTAGATAAACTTGATAGACAGCGGCTTCTGCGTAGACATTAAAAAAACTTGATATGTTTTTTTAATTACCTCACCGAAGAAGAGGCAAGACAGGGAAACTGTATTTTACACCTAGAATGCCATTCTTTCTTTCTTTCTTTCTGCTTCTTCTTCTTCTTCTTCTTTTTCTTCTACATCCTCTTCTTTTTCTACATCTTCTTCTTCTTCTTCTTCTTCTTCTTCTTCTTCTTCTTTTCTTCTTCTTCTTCTTCTTCTTCTTCTTCTTCTTCTTCTTCTTCTTCTTTTTCCTCCTCCTATGCTTCTTCTTCTTCTTCTTCTTCTTCTTCTTCTTCTTCTTCTTCTTCTTCTTCTTCTTCTTCTTCTTCTTCTTTTTCTTCTACATCCTCTTCTTTTTCTACACCTTCTTCTACATCGTCTTCTTCTTCTTCTTCTTCTTCTTCTTCTTCTTCTTCTTCTTCTTCTTCTTCTTCTTCTTCTTCTTCTTCTTCTTCTTCTTCTTCTTCCTCCTCCTCTCCTCCTTCTTCTTCGTCGTCGTTGTAGTTTTCTTCTTTTTCTTCTGCTTCTTTTTCACTTCCACCCGCTATAATCTCTGGCGGAAAGTTCTGGTTGCTCGTCCACTTCTGAACATTAGTGTTGTTTAAGAACTGAAGCTTTGCGTGCATATTCGTTTCTCATATCTTTATTATTTGTGTGCAGATGTTTGATTCCTCGCCTCTCAGACAGATGCACACCGACTGACGAAAAAAAACAAAAATGTGTCGATTTTTTCGACATGATTGTTGGGGTGTGGGGGGGGGGGGGGGTTGTCTACTCCTCTTTCCACCCCCAACCCACACAATGAGGTGCTGACACCCGGAAACAGGAAACTAAAGCAGGTAAAATTGGCAAAAAGAAGAGAAATGATCTCATCACAAAAACCTAGTATGTGTGAAAGCCTGCCCATCTGAGTGTCCAGTGGGAGTAGCTTCGCCGTTGCGTAGGTTAAATGAGGGTGAGATTCTTCAAAGCGAGGTGCCTGGGTGGAAGCTACGTCCTCGGAGGATTTCCAGTGGAGCCCATAGTATGAATAACTGATGGGGACCAACAATAGTGATGGATTTATGAAGCCTTTCAGTGGAATAATTTATTGCATTGTTATCGTGGTCGTTGCTCATCCACTAGTCTTTTATGTATCTGTCTTTCTGACTGTCTTTTTTTTTCAAGTCTGTCTGTCTGTCTGTCTGTCTGTCTGTCTGTCTGTCTGTCTGTCTGTCTGTCTGTCTGTCTGTCTGTCTGTCTGTCTGTCTGTCTGTCTGTCTGTCTGTCTGTCTGTCTGTCTGTCTGTCTGTCTGTCTGTCTGTCTGTCTGTCTGTCTGTCTGTCTGTCTGTCTGTCTGTCTGTCTGTCTGTCTGTCTGTGTTTATGTATGTGGGTGTATCCGTACTTCTATGTGAGTGTATGTCTGATTGTAGGTATGTGTGTGTGTGTGTGTATGCAAGTATGTATGTACTTCTATGTGAGTGTATGTCTGATTGTAGTGTGTGTGTGTGTGTATGCAAGTATGTATGTTTGTGAGTGTGTGTAATTGTGTGAGTGGGTGTACGTATGTAAGTATGTATGTATGTGCATGTATGTGTAAATGTATGTTTGTTCCTGTGTATTATGTGTGTATGTATGTGCATGTGTGTATATGTAGGTGTGTAAGTATTGTATGTGTGTGTATTTATGTATGTATGCAAGTATGTGTGCAAGTATGTGGATATATGTGTGTGTATGTATATGTGTGTATTTATATGTATGTATATGAGTGTGTATGTGTATGAATGAGCATGTAAGAGTATGTGTACGTGTGTGTGTGTGTGAGTGTCATTGTGTTTACACGATATGTGTATGAATTATTCTATAATGTATATTATTCTTTATAAATATAACATGCATTATTGATAAAAGGCAATACGCTCTGAAAAATGAGTGCTTAGAAAGGACGAATTTGTAACCCTTTGAGAATAAAGTTTGTTCTTTCGTTCTGTCTGTCTGTCTGTCTGTCTGTCTGTCTGTCTGTCTGTCTGTCTGTCTGTCTGTCTGTCTGTCTGTCTGTCTGTCTGTCTGTCTGTCTGTCTGTCTGTCTGTCTGTCTGTCTGTCTGTCTGTCTGTCTGTCTGTCTGTCTGTCTGTCTGTCTGTCTGTCTGTCTGTCTGTCTGTCTGTCTGTCTGTCTGTCTGTCTGTCTGCATGCCTGCTTGTCTGCCTGTCAGTTAAACAAGCAATCAATAAATCGTTCTGCCTCTTAGTCTGTCTATCTATCTAAATGTTGATCCATCTGTCCATTTGCCTAGGTATTCTTCTATCTGTATGCATCTGGGTCGATCCATCTATTTATCCATCAGATTGTCTGTATGTCTGATGCATGTCTGTTTGTCTAGCTGTCGGTCGGTACGTCAAGTCCCAAATTTCTACCAACTGTCAACAGCACTTAGCTGATTGCATGAGGCAGAAATTATCCAACCAGAATCTGACATTTGCCTAAGTATGCGGCCATTTTACCGCCATAATCTTCTATTGAATTCTTCAAATGTGACAACTGCCTGATCTGTTCAATGAGACAAAGCCAAGTTCCCAAGGCGTGGGCCAGCCTGGCAACCTGCCACATGCTGCTTGTTGTCTTATTGTGGCAGAAAGGCTAAATATCGTTTTGGGAAAGAGAAGACAATAAGATAGAACAAACAGTTTGGCCACAAATGAGAACAGCTCCTGGCACCGACGGTAAATAAATGATGAGACTGTGTTGACAAGGCAAGTGATTTTGATAACAATGAACAAGGACTGGGCGTTCATGCTTGTTTGTGAGTGAGTGTGTGTGAGTGTGTGTGCGTATGAAGTTCGTATGTGTGTTGCATGGGGTGAAGTGACAAAAGGCGCTGCATTTTAGCGCATTTCGACTTTATTTACACCGAACCATCATTGGACGAACAATGATTACGTAATCGCAGGGGGATTTGATAAATGGAAAGTGAGCCGGCGTAAGAGAATGGGAAAGTTTGACAGCAGGGAGGCCGCATGTGAAGATAAGGCACACACACACGGGCGCGCGTTCAGAAAGAAAGAAAGAAAGAAAGAAAGAAAGAAAGAAAGAAAGAAAGAAAGAAAGAAAGAAAGAAAGAAAGAAAGAAAGAAAGAAAGAAAGAAAGAAAGAAAGAAAGAAAGAAAGAAAGAAAGAAAGAAAGAAAGAAAGAAAGAAGAAAGAAAGAAAGAAAGAAAGAAAGAAAGAAAGAAAGAAAGAAAGAAAGAAAGAAAGAAAGAGAGAGAAAGAGAGAGAGAGAGAGATAGAGAGAGAGAGAGAGAGAGAGAGAGAGAGAGAGAAAGAGAGAGAGAGAGACAAGAAAGGAACAATGGCTGCAACCGCCATCCAGCGAGAAAAATGAAAATAGTTGACTGTGCATGACAAGAAATAAAAATTGGGTCAGGGGTTTTCCCCCATTGGAACGGGAATGTTTGTTTGAATTTTTGTTAGATAAACACAGTACATTGGATTTGGTGCATTTGTGTTTTTCCTGCTAGAAACCCTATTGAACGTTATCATCCCTTATTTAATCATGTGCCGTCTCTACAATGAAGGTTGCCTACAATAGATCTCCAAAATTCTTTCTCTGACTCTCACAAATTTCTGCTCGACTACCTCCTAACGTTATCCTCCGTCTTGTATCGCTGTCTGCCTGTTGCTTTTCAGACTTCTGTAAGTGGTTAATGACGAAGAGTGCAGGCTGGTGGTCTTGTTTTCCTCACTGTTATTCCATTGAGGGAGGGGGCAGGTAAGACCTACTCCCCCTAACAAGCGTGTCGTAGAAGGCTACTAATTATGATACTAGATGTAAGCTTTATCAAAACTCTAGAGAGACATTACATTAGACAGACAGACAGACAGACAGACAGACAGACAGACAGACAGACAGACAGACAGACAGACAGACAGACAGACAGACAGACAGACAGACAGACAGACAGACAGACAGACAGACAGACAGACAGACAGACAGACAGACAGACAGACAGACAGACAGACAGACAGACAGACAGACAGACAGACAGACATGAATGTACGGTATACCTACATTTCAGAGAAACAGTCAATCTTTTATGACAGGCAGTCATAGCATACACACATACAGTCAAACATACATATCTGCCAATAAACATATACACATAAGGATAGACAGACATACAGGCATGCAGCTTGGAGGACCAGCTGACCAACAGAAACACATATATAAACACAGAAAGCCGACAGACATATGTTTACACTGGCAGGCAGACAGACAGGTATACATACAAGCCTACTTGCAAACAGACACACTGACAAAGACCGACAGACATAGACCGACAGACAGACATATAAACAGAACGACAGACAGAGACAGATTGACAGACATGCGGATCGGCAGGGAGACAAACATACTGGCAGACAGATGGACATAATAAGAACAGACAGACAGACAGACAGACAGACAGACAGACAGACAGACAGACAGACAGACAGACAGACAGACAGACAGACAGACAGACAGACAGACAGACAGACAGACAGACAGACAGACAGACAGACAGACAGACAGACAGACAGACAGACAGACAGACAGACAGACAGACAGACAGACAGACAGACAGACAGACAGACAGACAGACAGACAGACAGACAGACAGACAGACAGACAGACAGACAGACAGACAGACAGACAGACAGTGTTACCTGAAGTTAGAGAACCACTTGACGAGCTGTGCCGTGTTGTTCTTGTTGAACATGACGTCGGGGAAGTACATCTTGAGAATGGACGAGCTGGGGTACCTTGTGTAGAAGAACATCAGTTTGGCCTTCCGCAAGTGCATGGGAGTCAGCGTGGAGGTCTGCATCCCGGTTAAGTCTGGCTAACTTGCTTTGTGCTTCTCATAATTACACATGTATAGATTTGCTATAGTTATACCTTAAGTAAAGGTCCCTTCTAAAAGCCTTTGTGCGTATTAGGCATATAGGGCTAGACCTATGTTTTATAAACTAATAAGCGCTCGGTGGGCGATGTGGCATCGTGAACGCCAGGCGCCTTTACTTTCCAGGACTGTGCCTAGTACCCATCTGATGCTGGGTTGACCTGGTAGCCAAGGTCATTGTGTGAAAAAAAATCCCGGTTTTCCCAGGATCTGAATCCACGACGGTCGGATACGCAGGCGAGCGTTTAGCCGCTTCACCACAGCGGATCCCCTAGTGAAACCTTATGACCTTCTAGTTACACCAGTTTATTACATGTATTACATGTATTACATGTGTAAATTATTTATAACATTTGTATTTATTTTATCTTATTACATCTGCATATACTTTTTGTAATAGAGGGGTTTGAGGTTTGAACAACTGATCTACATCATGACACACGGGTATTAACCCATATGTGCTCCGTTCTTCTTCTAACTCAAGTCTGAGTCCGAAGAAGCTCAGCACAGTGCACCGTCTCTGTAGCACCGGCCAGGATCCGGAAATATTTTGGGTAGATTTTTAACGTGTAACAGAGAAAGATGGCGCTATACTGGACACATCCTGAAAACAAAACAGCAGAGAATCATCAAACAGGCATTATGGGAAATAAAGGAATTTAGGAGGCCAAAAGAAACCCAAAGACGAACATTGATGAGAAAGGCCAAAGATGCTTGACTGATTCCATCCTTGATACTGAACTGACTGCACAGGATCAAACGGACTGAAGGTACAGACTGCAAGCCCTATGTGATATATAATGGCACAACAGGATAATCAGTGAATGAATACTTCTAATCGTTACACCAGTTATTACTTTTTATGACTGTATCTGTATGTATTTCCCAATGACACCTCCTTATACGTCTAATTACACCGTTTATTTACTTTAGGTCATCCCCGTGTGGGTTTCGGGGTCCCATTGTGGAAAAAACAAGAATGGACCCACTGTCTCCCCAACAAGCATGCCCTAAGAGTCGACTAACTAGGCGCTTCCTTCTAAGTCGGAGTGCATCTGCCCGAGAGGCAAGAAACCAACAATCTGCATACAGTTAAGTCATATCTGTTAACGGATTCGCACGCAACAGTCAGGTTCTGGAACAAGACTGAAGTCCAGAGGTGGACAAACAACCAGAACTTTTCACGGAGTTTACAGCCGGTAACCGCGAAGAAGAAGTCTTTAGGTCAGTAGAGTCCCAATCCACTGCTTATTTTGTTGATTGGTAGATGTATGAAGCAAGTTAAAGAATTTAGGAAGTAAATTCTCGGAGGACGGGAAAATAGATCTGGTAATAGAAACAAGATGCCAACGAACCATTATTAAGACATCCAGACATTAAGTTTCATCAGTTGAAAACGAGCAGACAGAAATCACACTGCAGACAAAACGATTTAAGGTTAAACAGATCAGTTTACCTACTGATCTAGCGATCTTTAAGGATGTGTACTATTCTCCGATTTATTACATTCGTACAGTGAAATAATAATTAGATCCATACAGGGTATGCCAGGAATAGCGGTTTGTAGGCATATTGTTAACAATCTGCACAATGCTGACGATATAGTTTTAATAGCTGAAAATGAAAGACAACTGCAAGAAATGACGGATATAACTGTGATGGAAAGTAAAAACAAGGGTCTTAGTTTGAAGGGAAGAAAAGCAGAAGTAAAAATAATTACTATGAAAACTGACCCTCCTGAATGCAACATCAAAGTAAATAGGGCAAACCTCAAGCAAGTTGATATGTTTAAGTACGTGGGTACCCTGATAACATCAAATGGAAGGTCTATTACAGAAATTAAAAGCAGAATAACTCAAGCAAACGCAGCATTTCACAAAATGAATAATATTTTATGCAATCTTTCATTTTCAGTTGAGATGAGAAAAGAGAATTCTTAAAAGCTATATAATCCTATCTTGATATAGGGAAGTGAATCATGGACAGTTGGTAGATTAGGGAAATATTTGGAAGATGTGATTTTATAGACGAATGATAAGAATACAATGGTCAGATAAAAAAAGTAATGAAGACGTCTTGAAAGAGACCGGCTCACAAAGAGAACTGGGAGACCATCTACATTGTTTGGTCATGTGATGAGAAGAAGAAAACTGGAGGACATCGTGACAGCAGGAAAGCTGGAGGGGAGGAGAGGCAGAGGGAGAGGGAAAGAAAAGTTCATGGCATGGAAGATCATCTGTGTCAGAGCTGGTTGAAAGTACACGAGACAGAAGGCTGTGGATAGACATGACTACCACCACACGGCATGGATGTTAAGAAGAAATAGCAATTTTGATTGTCAACGAAACAAACAAACAGAATTAAGATACGCATTGACGAGGCAACAGCAACTGGACACATTATGCAACTCTAAAAATAATTTTTTTTTTTCTAAACAAGTCACATAATTTCAGTTCTAATGTTATTTCAGTTTTAACACTTGGCAATGAAAGTTGGAGAACCACCAAAGACAAGGAACACAAATTAAATATTTTCAAAAACAGACACCTAAGGAAACAGGTGTCCATATCACTGCTAAGAATGCTAGAATGTGGAGTAAGTACAGATCGACAGAGCCATGCACGAGAGGCACACCGGACATACGTGAAATCATATCAACCAGCATAGGACTGGCACTATTACCACGGGACGCTGATGTCTATGTTGAAAGGGGAGTATGAGAACCTATAAACATGTCCGGAGTGCCACGAAGATTACCCAACTCTTAACCTGCTATCCTACCCGTCAACCACACTTGTTACAGCAATAACTATTATTGATGAATTTTATCTATAACAAACATGAACTGTGACCATCGTACCACTCCGAGGCAAAAGCTGTCACCGGAACCACCACCACAACAGCAATCATCAGCTTTTTAAACAGCCCACGCTTCACGATTTTTGATCAAGGCAAGCATGAAATCTGACAGTCTCCCCGTCACGCTTGGTTGATTTCATGGGTCATATAGTTGGTACACGGGTAATAGTTAATAGCCCCACAACCAAAAGAAGCAATTAACCGAGCGAGATGATGAGGGCGTTGTCTGCGATCTTTGCCCCGAGTGCAATGACTACAATATGTAAATCCTCTGACTTTATGCGGGCGATTATGCAACTTCCATTTGATGCACCTCGTCGTTTGCGCACAAAACGTAAATATTAGAAAATGTTAACAGTTAATTACAAGAAATTAACATTATAAACATCGCGTGAATCTGTTGCCTGTTCTGCTAAATTTACTCGGTAAATACATTAGCGAAATATAATAAAAAAGCAACGTCTATTTAATAAAGCATTTCGTGGTTGTCCTATCTTGTTTAATGTGTCATTTCACGTATGTTTTTGTCTCTGTCATGTCTTATTATGTTGTAAATTTCCTGTCCCCCATACATATTATTGTACGTTTAATTTCTTGTCTCCGCCATTTATTATCACGTATGTATAATTTCTTGTCTCTGTCATGTATTATTATGTATGTATAATTTCTTGTCTCTGTCATATATTATCTTGAATGTATAATTTCTTGTCTCTGTCATATATTATCGTGTATGTATAATTATATATTATCGTGTATGTATAATTTCTTGTCTCTGTCATATATTATCTTGTATGTATAATTTCTTGTCTCTGTCATATATTATCGTGTATGTATAATTTCTTGTCTCTGTCATATATTATCGTGTATGTATAATTTCTTGTCTCTGTCATATATTATCGTCTATGTATAATTTCTTGTCTCTGTCATATAGTATCTTGTATGTATAATTTCTTGTCTCTGTCATATAGTATCTTGTGTGTATAATTTCTTGTCTCTGTCATATATTATCGTGTATGTATAATTTCTTATCTCTGCCATATAGTATCTTGAATGTATAATTTCTTGTCTCTGTCATATAGTATCTTGTATGTATAATTTCTTGTCTCTGTCATATAGTATCTTGTGTGTATAATTTCTTGTCTCTGTCATATAGTATCTTGTATGTATAATTTCTTGTCTCTGTCATATAGTATCTTGTGTGTATAATTTCTTGTCTCTGCCATATAGTATCTTGTGTGTATAATTTCTTGTCTCTGTCATATAGTATCTTGTGTGTATAATTTCTTGTCTCTGTCATGTAGTATCTTGTGTGTATAATTTCTCGTCTCTGCCATATAGTATCTTGTGTGTATAATTTCTTGTCTCTGTCATGTAGTATCTTGTGTGTATAATTTCTTGTCTCTGCCATATAGTATCTTGAATGTATAATTTCTTATCTCTGTCATATAGTATATTGAATGTATAATTTCTTATCTCTGTCATATAGTATCTTGAATGTATAATTTCTTGTCTCTGTCATATAGTATCTTGTATGTATAATTTCTTGTCTCTGTCATATAGTATCTTGTGTATATAATTTCTTATCTCTGTCATATAGTATCTTGAATGTATAACTATTCACTAACTACCAAAGCGATCTGAAAACATCTAGTTTGTCATGCACCAATGTACCACCAGTTTAACCACCACGTGTTGCACAGTGAGTCAGTAGAAGTCTGTACTAACACACTATAACATGCAGAAACTGATAAACAAGCAACATTTCATGGTAGGTTTCAGAATGAAACTTAATTGCAAACACCCTAATCGTCATATCAGCTAAATTATAGATACGTTATAAAAATGAATCATATACTAGCGTGGTGGTAAAATATGCTAGAAAGTAACGTCTAGTGGGTAAATTATGGGATAGATTTCAGCCTTGTCATCAATACATGAGCTAATTTGGAGGGCATCATTAGAGTATCTACCATTTCCCGCGTGGGTCTTGGGTCCCTATTGTGGGGAAGGGGGAGGGGTTAATAAATCTACTGCGCCACCCACCCCCACCCCAATAAGCA